CATACTAAAAAGAGTGGATGATCATGGCACATTCTCCAATTTTTTTCTCCAACCATTTTGTGTACTTGACTTATTAGCTTGCTTTCAAGCATTTTTTTTTCTTTATTTTTTGTTAATTGTACTTAAAAGTTTTTCCCCTTATGTTTTTTTATTGTATTTTAAATGCCTTTTTATCAAAACTTATGTGAATGAGGGCACATTCTCTAATTTTTTACTCCAACCTCCTTGTGTGCTTTATCTATTAGCTTGTTTGCTTTCAAGCTTTTTTTCTTTATTTTTTGTGTTTTTAATTGGTATGTTTTTTCTCTTTATGTATTTTTAATTGTATTCGTTTTTTGTCGATAGATTATATAGAAGTGTGGATGAATGTGGCACTTTTTATTCAACTTTTTGCCTTCATACTTTGAAAATTTTATCAACATTTTGCTTCATGTTTTTACTTTAGCACTTGCTTGTTCTTTTTCTTTCCTTCTTTTCTAAATCTTGTATTTTTAATTGTTTCCCATTAAAGTATTTTTCTCTTTAAAAGCCTCATTTAGCATTTTTTTTATTTTCATGAATATTTTAACTTGTAAATGTCTATACTTTTTACAATACATTTATACTATTTATAATAGAGAAAATGTATCTATTTTTTCAAAAAAATTTTCAATTATGATTATGCATAATATGAAATTGTTGATTTTAAAATTTAAAACTTCTTAATAAGTTTACATTGCTATTCTAAAAAAAATTTTGATACCATTTTTTTGGTTGGAAAAATAATTATCAATTGACTATATTTATTCCAAAAGAAAAGGAAAAAAAGAAAACATTGTTAACATATCGTGTTAAAGTTCAACTTAAATTATTAACATGATTATCTAATATTGTCATAGAGAGATTAAATTTTTTTTTAAACAAACATCTAATTTCTATGGAAACATTACTTATCAAACATAATAATAATTTTATAAAACACGTGCAAATTGCAAAATATATATCTACACAATCTCGCGCGTAAACACACACTGTCTGAACTAAGACATATATATATATATATATATATATTACGCCCTTGTTGTAGTGGACGTTCATCACTTTTGTCTTTACTTTCTTGGCAAAGTAGCTGTCTATGTAGCACTTCGTATATCGAGTCTTTAAAAAAATGAAAAAATCAAACAAAATCAAATATATTACACTTTTTATCTTTTATATATTCATGTCATCACGGTCGACTTATATATATATATATATATATATATATATATATTACGCCCTTGTTGTAGTGGACGTTCATCACTGTTGTCTTTACTTTCTTGGCAAAGTAGATGTGTATGTAGCAATTCGTATATCGTGTCTTTAAAAAAAATGAAAAAATCAAACAAAATCAAATATATTACATTTTTTATCTTTTATATATCCATGTCATCACGGTCGACTTATCAAGTGTTTTACCTACCAGGGTTTTGATTTTTTTTTTTTATGGAAATTGTTTTAGTTGTTTTCACATTTTTAATGGTCAGATGCTTGTCGGAACTTAATATTTGTTATTTAATCACGTGCTTGTAGTAACATTAATTGTTGTCAATTATTGTGTCTAATATTGTTACTTAATTACATGCTTTTATGGATTAAAAATCAACTATATGACATTTTTATCCATGCCAGTCGACACTTTAGGTCTTTTAACTACTACCGTGGTTTTAGTTTTTGATTTTTTATGGAAATTGTTTTAGGTGTTTTCACATTTTTAATTATCAGATGCTTGCTGGGATTGAATATTTGTTATTTAATCACGCCCTTGATAGGAACATTAGTTATTGTCAATTATTTTGTCTGATATTTTCTACTTAATTGTTAATTATTTTGATACCCTCTATTCTTATAGCCGGTGCTAGCTATCGGTTAAAACTCCTCTATCTAAAAGGAGAAAAGCTTTTAACATAAACATTGTTTTAGTTTGTTCGTTCTCACAAAAGGTCAAAATTATAATAATAATGCAAATCCCAACCATATATATAACTTATTTGTGGACTATAATATGCTGCGCCAGATTATGAAAACTCAAATACACCTGGAGTTAGTGACTTGCGTAATTATTTATTAATGAAGTACACGTATAAATAAGAAATTAAGTTTACACGCACGTGACGTACATTTGATAAACAATAAGGTTCATATAAAGCGTTTTTTTTTTATAAGTTCTTTGTGGGGACCTATCATTTGTTAATGTTTCCTCTTTTGTCGTAGTTCATCACTTTTGTCTCTACTTCCCTGGGAACAAAAGCAATATTATTTCTGTTATTTACAAAGAAAAATAAGCGCGAATAAATAAATAAATAATAAAAACTGTAGCATCATCGATGATTGGTTGTTTCTTTTTTTTTTTTTTCCCTTTTGTATGGAAATGGTTTTAGTTTTTTTAAGTTTTTTATTTAATAGTTAGATGCCTGATCTTGGAATTAAATATTAATTTGTTGTCTAATCACGTGCTCATAATAACATTAATTATAGTCGATTATTGTGTCTAATAGTTTTGACTAAATTATTAATTATAATCGCTTGCTTTTGTTGATTATAAGAACTTTCTATGATTCTTTATTTTTAATAAATTTTTAATTATTCAAAAAAATTGTGATCACATTATAATTGGTAGAAATAAAAATAACTTAGGTCCCATAGGTAACATTTTCATTTTCATAACTTTTTAAAACAAAAATAAAAGCTTTCTTTTGTATTTGTTTTTCATTTTCTTATAAAAAATGTTTCATTTTCTAATTTCTAAAAACAGGTTTGGTAGCTACAATTTTGTTTTTACACATTTTATTAAACAAAAAAAAAAAGGAAAGCATATTGCGGATGGAGGGCTAATCCAAGTGTTGGGTCGGACTGACAAGCCAAGACTACTATCTAGGTCAACAAGCTAGGTTCAATGTTGGGAGTCGGGTAGGGATTGTGCAAAGGTCTGGCAAACGGGTTTGGACTACCAACGGGATGAGATGGCGCTGAGGTCAAGACAGAACCACTATTGAGTGAGGTTGATGGGCTGAGACCGGCATGGCGCTTAATGGCGACTAGATAAGACCATCGACTCATTGACCGAACCCTGACACTCACTACAACAAAAAGGGTTATTAGCAATGATTAGTCTGATACCCTAATTGCCTTAACCGCGACTCGAGTTCCAGATTGTTGCCCCTACCATTAAGTTGATCCTAGTCTATTGCACAGACCTTGGTGTTGGTCCCGGCCAATCTAACATACCACGACACCAGTCGATTGCCCCCCAGCTCCCCAAACTATACTCCAAGTCTATAGCTCACCTTTTGTTCAATTAACGTGCTCCAAGCTCACCTTCGGTCCAACTAAGATACTCTAAGAACAATTTACATCAGCTCCTCCTCGAATTGACTTTGGATACGTTGAGAGCTATTTTCATTAAGCTCTTATCCTTTTCTAAAGCTCTAAAAATTGAGTATCTTAAGTTTGATCTCTTTAAATAATCAAAGTCAATGCATATGAGAAGGTTCTAGTGAAAAATTGAAATTTTGGTGCAAATTATGTTCATTTTGAACTCAACTTGAATTTCAATTGTCAACTACCATATTTCAATTCTCAGCTTGAATTTCATTAAGCCCTTATCCTTTTCTAAAGCTCTAAAAATTGAGTATCTTAAGTTTGATCTCTTTAAATAAGCAAAGTCAATGCATCTGAGTAGGTTCTAGCGAAAAATTGAAATTTTGCTGCAAATTTTGTTCATTTTGAACTCAGCTTGAATTTCAATTGTCAACTACCATAATCTTTTCTGTTGAGTCGTGTGAGTCGTTTTGGCTCTCTTTTTATGTTTTGGGCTTTGGTTGGCTTAGTTGGGCTTCATGTTTGGATTGTTTATTTTGAAAGTGTCAAGAAAAGTCGTACAACTGTTGTTTGAGTCGTTTTGTTCCTTAAGTAATGCTGTACATTTTGACAAAATCTTGAGTTAGTCTTTCGAATTCGTTGAGTTCGTTCGAATAGAAGAAGATCAGCTTTTGGGTTTGTTCAAATAGAAGAAATCAGCTTCACAGTTTTGAATTAAGATAAGCCTCTGAGGATTTCGTGGAAAAGATCAAGATTGTGTTGGTTTTTTGATTTAAACCAGGATTTGAAATTGAAACAAATATCTGTTAAAGATTTTGTTTTAGTTTGAATAAATGGTTTATTCAAAACCGTATTTCATGATGAATTCGTTTTGAAGATCAAGATATCATCTAAAAAGAAATTTGAGTGCTGAGAATCTGGGTCAAGGAAACTAAAACTGGAATATGCAAAGCAGATTACGTGTTTTGAATTTTAAACTGATAACTGTCTTATCTGTAACTACAGATTCTAAGACAGATTCTGATTTTGAATTAGATCAGTTTATAAAAGGTTGCTGCACGAGGAATCAGATGATGGACTGCAATTCTGATAAAGTACGGAGTGCACAAGTTGAAGAGATATAGCCTTCATCGATTTTGGTATTTGAGAGAAGATTTTGTGAGCTTTCGGGAGAAGGCATTTGAAGACGAGTGGTGCTCGCCAAGCTAGCCACTTAGGGTGTTAGACACAGCGGCGTCGATAGTCAAGAGGGAGTCTTGGGTTGGTTAAGTCCGATTGGTGTCTGTAACTTTCTACCTATTAGTAGATTGCTTGATGTCTGGGCGTGGCCCCGTGGATGTAGGTTGGTTTGACTGAACTACATTTAATTGTTATGTGGTATTTACTCTGCTTTTGTGTTTTGCTTTGGTAATCCTCAATCAATTTTATAAGAAAACACGGTAAAAGCACATAACCGGTTCTAACAATGATGGATGGTTTGAACTGTGTGAAACTCTCCTCCACGTTGACAGACCACCTTATCTTGTAATTCAAACAGATTCAAATAGGCAAAATGTTACTCGTAACTATAAAACAAAACATTATTAGTTGCAAATATGAAATTTGATCTGCAAGATCTTCAATTTTATTATATACTTGAACATTAGAGGACAAAGGCCCTTATCATATAAAACGTACAACACACTGTATATACATTCATATTTAACAGAGTTAAAAACAAAAACAAAACAAAAAAAGAGGAAGGAAAGGAAAGAAAGAAAAGAAACATGAAGAGGAGAACCATGGATCCAACATAGATGGATCAAGGGTAGTAAGGTACAGGAACAAGATGAAGAGGAATTTTCTTCTGAACAGTGAGCCCATAAACTTCACTCATATCCAATTCGTTCGGCAGTATTGCCCCGCCAACATCAGGACACTTCCAATCAAACCAATACAATAGGTTGGCCATCACATACTCGACACTAAAAACCCCAAAAGTCAAGCCAGGGCACCCTCTTCTGCCCGAACCAAACGGAAGAAATTGGAAGTCCTGCCCTTTAAAATCAACATCACTATCTTGGAATCTCTCTGGAAGGAATTCCTCTGGCTTGTCCCAAACATTTGGGTCCCTTTGAATTGCCCATGAATTGATGAACACTCTTGTTTTGTCAGGAATATGAAAGCCTCTAAGCTCAATGGCTGCCATTGTTTCTCGAGGAAGTAGCAAAGGAGCAGGAGGATGTAGTCTAAGAGTCTCTTTGACGACACATTTCAAGTAATCCATTTGATGGACGTCATTCATATCGATCTTTGACCTATTGTCAACCACTCTCCTCACCTCTTCTTGGGCTTTCTTCATCACCTTTGGATGTCTCAGTAGCTCCGCCATTAGCCATTCTAACAATGTCGAAGTTGTATCACTTCCACCGATGAACATGTCCTGAAATTTTTTTGCACATGGTTAAAAGCATTGCTTTGATATTTTATGGGACTGAGAAATTAAGGGGGAGAGAAATACCACTAGGATTGCTTTAATGTTGTCTTGAGTGAGCTCAAATTCAAGCATGCCATGCTTTTGGAGTTTAAGAAAAATATCCACAAAGTCTTTCGTATTAGACCCGCCAATATCTTCACCACCCTCTAGTACTGCGTTGTGTTCTTCAACCACTTGATCAAGAAAGGTGTCCAATTCTGAAAAAATGAATTTCATTCGTCCTATTACGCCTATGAGATTGTCAACCCATCTCAAAGAAGGGAAGAAATCTCCCACGCTAAAGGTCGTCATACTGACCATCAACTTTCTGCCCAGCTCTCCAAACTTGCTGGGCCCGTCTTCGTCTTCAAAATCCCTCCCAAGAACACATCTAGACATTATATTGTTAGATGCTGCAATCAACATCTCACTTAGATTTACAGAAGAATCCTTGCTAGATTGGCTAGCTCGACGTATCCTTTCGATCAAGGCAACGGTGACTTCTTCCTTCACGAACTGAAATTGTTGAACTCTTCTGAAGCTCAAAAGTTCAAGAACACAGATTTTTCGAGTTTGTCTCCAATATTCACCATAAGGGGCAAACCCCACGTCATGGCTTCCATAAAGTATGATATCAGCAGCAGTGGTTTTCGGCCTGTTAGAGAAAGTGATATCATGGTTTTTGATGATTTCTTTCATCATATCAGCTGATGAAACAACAAGAGTTGGAACTTGGCCCAATTTTAAGAGCATTAGAGGGCCATATTTTTTGGAGAGTTCTCGGAAAGAGCGGTGTGGATGCGTGCCTAGTTGGTGAAGGTTTCCAATTAGTGGTAACCTTGGTGGTGACGGTGGTAAATTTAGTTTAGAACGAGACCTACTAAGAATGAACAAGAGAAGCAAAGATAGGAGGAAAAGAAAGACAAGAAAGGTATCGAACTCTAGCTCTTCTGACAAATGCTTCAAAAGAGGTGAAACAGGCATTTCCATTTTGTTTTCCGTGCAGAAGATGAGTCTGATCAGTCCGCTCTTCTTATAACTAGAAGCGTACTGTTCTTTGTCTTTTAGCATAAGAAAATCTTTTAACCCCAACATTAATTGGGTACTCAGAAACGGTCAAATATAAATAATTTAAATCCTAATTAGTGTTCATATCTATCAATTTATTAAATTAAGAAATATAATAAGTTGTGCAAGACTATCAAAAGTCTTACAGGCATACAGTTGCTGACGTGCCTAGCTAATTTTTTTACTAATGGAGTACACATATTAATGTAAGAAATGTACTACACGATAAGTATATGACTCATTTAGAAAATGATAGGGAGTAACGTAAGTGTTTTTTAGGCCATGTTCTTTTACCTAACTCAAATCACAATACAAACTTTTTATTACAATTTTTTTTTATAAAAATTTAAATTTAATTTTTTTACTACAATATTTTTTCTAACATACTAAACTCAAATCAAAACTCAAGCTTAAAAAAGAACGTACCCTTAAGTTCTCTGTGGGGTCTTCGTAGGGGATCATTTTCTAAGTAGTATTATTATTATTTTTTTACTACCCCTTTTTATCTAGTGAATCGTCACTTTTGTCTTTTACTCATTGGTTACATATGGGCATGTTGGCGAATCGATCGGGTCGGATTTATTCAAGGATTGGTTAGGCAGGATGAAACCGCTAACCACCCTTTAGAAAAAGCGGATGGTTTGCGGTTGGGTTGGGCTTTTTTCAGCCTAAGGTACTTTGATTAAGAAAAAAACAAAAAGAAAAAAAATAAGAAAAAAAGGGGACAAATACCTCTTATAGTGTATTAGTTTAGATTTTTACCTTCAACTCTCTATTAATATCATTTTTAGTCAAATAACTATATATTAGTCAAATGAGTATTAATTAAGAATAAATGGTAAAAATTTATAGCCGTGTACTTTAAGGATAAGTTCAACAATTTTCTAAAAAAAATGTAAAATAGAAACACGGACATATAGTGCCTGTTTGGTTGCGTTTTTAAAAAGGTTTTTCATGTTTTCTAAGAACAAAAAAATGAAAATGCTCTGACAGTCCCGTTTGGCATTGCATTTCTTGAAAAACAGAAATTGAAAACGTTTTTTACTTGTTTCCAAAAAGTGAGCAAAATTGAAAACGATTCTACGTCGTTTTCATTTTCATTTTCCCCATATCATTATTGTTTCATTTTCCTTCTTAGTCTTTCCTTGACTCCACCCCCCAACTCTTCTCTGACCTCCCTCCACCCCCCCTCTGATCTCCTTTCCGGCCCTTTATGGCCTTCTTTCGAACGGTCACAAGGCCTTTGTACCGCTTGTTCACGGACTTAGCTGCCAGCTCGTCTGCCGACGGGAAGGGGTCGCCGCCGGGGGTGGAATTAGCTGAAGCCATCATCGGAAGTGGTGGTGGTGATGATTGTTAAGAAATGACCAGTAATGTAATGGGTTTGTATTTATAGGTTTTGGGGTTCGTCCATTATTTTAGCGGGAAATGAATGTATCGCCGGGCGGCGAAGTAGGTGTTTTGTTTGGATTTCGCGGGATTTTTTTGTTTTAGCATGCTCTGAAATCGGCAGTCTTGGCCGGAGATGAAGATGAGTTGGTGGAGAGTATTGTGTGTGTGTGTGTGTGTGTGTAAGAGAGAGAGAGAGAGAGAGTAGGGGTGTGTAAAATGTTCGTTAAATTGTCTGGCTCAACTGCATGACGAAGGTAAAGAAAAATTGTGTGTGTGACCTCCAATTGTGTTTTTTTGGATCATGACATGCATAACACAATTTTCATTGTGTGTGTGACCTTTAATTGTGTTTTTTTGGATCATGACATGCATAACACAATTTTCATATTTGTGTTTTGTGATTTATTTTAATGATGAAGAAAGTGTTATTTTAGATGTGTGATAAGGATGATAATACGAAATGGCCGGCTGCAATTGAGGATGATAATAAGGATGATAATAATTAATTTATTATATTAATTATTAGTGTTTTTATTTGAGCTTTAATTATTATTTATTGAATATATTATTATTTAAAATACAATTATATGTTTTTAAAAATTAAGCCACCAAACGCAGTTTCAGTTTTTTTAAAACTAAAAACAATCTCAGAATAAAATTTCCAAACACATTTTTAGAAATGATTCCAAAATGAAAATGAAAACGTTTTCATTTTTATTTTCATACAGAAAACAAAATCGTTTTGGAACGAATTACAAACGCACACATATATTTCCTTTAATGCTTTTTGGAGAGTTTATGGGCATTTATATTAATTACATCCTAAGGACATATAGAAGATTGGATTATTAACGCTGCAGCATCAAGGTTAATGTGATTATATATTATGCCAACAAATAAAATAATAGTCCCAAAAAGGGGGAAAACGAAGATTGTTTTTTTAATAGAAAAATTTTTTTTTTTTTTTTTTTTTTTTTTTTTTTTTTTATGAATGATGAGAGAGAATAACTAATATCAGCTCTTACTAGTACATTCTAATTAAGCTAATAGGCTAAAAAAATTTAGGCCGAAAAGGCTAAAGACAGAAAAACAACTCAAAATAGAAAAACACACTGCAGATTCCTAGTAAACTAGGTAAGGCTGTACAATAGGCCGCGCAAAACTAACTAATCCTTTACATACTGGTAATACAAGTATTTGAAATTTGAACAAACAGAACATGCAGTTACAACGTACATTTAAATGAAACCTAACTAATGCCACGATCATTTTGATTTACCTATTACAAGTATTTCCACTTAGTACTATTAATGTTTTTTTTTTTTTTTTTTTTGTGGTGGTGCTTGAGTGGGTAGAACTCTCTAATAACATTTAGTTCACGGATTCAGAGTTATGATTCAAAATTTTTCTCGATTTACGTGTGTTTTTTATAAAAAAAAATATTGTAATAAATTACGAATTATGATTTAAACTATAGCACGAATCCTTATATTAAACACCCTAACCCGCCCGTGTTAACATTGAAGTGGACGGGTTGAAAATGCGGTTTGAAACTATGGTTTGGTAGGTGCAGGTTGAAATCACCCTCCAAAATGCTAAACCGCGACTTAGCAGGTTGATGACGTGCGATGCAGGAGGAGGGACGGGCGGGCAAGCGAATGGGTTGGCAGTTTTTTTTTTTTTTTTTTTTAAAGCAACTTTTCAGATGTTTTACCTGCCGGCGGGGTAGTTGTTTCTCCTTATCTTTCATTTGTTTAATGGATTCGGTTTTTGTCGTTTTTGTATTTTTATTTAATTTTGTAGTTGCGTGTGGGAGTCTATTATTGTCAATTATTGTGTTTAATAGTTTTGACTTTGCTATTAATTATATATATTATAACCAGCATTATTTTCATTAAGTTCTTTTATGTGGTCCCCTGGGGAAATTTTTCTCAGTGTAACTGATTGAATGATTGATGTAATTTTCTTATATTTAGTTGTAACAGTTACTATTTTACGAATCAAAAATGATTTTTAAGCATAAGATAATAAATAACTGTCATGTACTGCTCCAAACAAATATTTTTGCATGACCAGATGTGCCTATTAAGAAAAGAATATAACAAATGTAATCCTTCATGACAATATTATTTAGGTTTAAAAAAGATAGTCAGTTATGATGAAAAAACTTATAGTAATACTAAAAAATGGCAGTCGTTTATTGATGTATCTTTCAATATTATTCGTATAAGTTTTCATCACAGGTGTCCATGACAGTCGTTTATTACTATATGCTTAAAAATGATTTCTGATTTTTAAAATAGTAACTGTTACGGCTCAATATAAAAGAATAACGTTAGTCTTCCAACCGATTATGATAGCAGATGTATCGGTTACGGTCCATTTTCAAACTGGGGGACTGTAGACAAACCCTTCATTAAAATTCTCCAATTAAATTAACATTTTAAGGTATCTCCAAATGTCAAATATATATAGTGAAAGAGCGCATGTAAAGAGATAGACTAGTGTGTGATAAAATTAAAAGCTTAACCAACTTTAAAAGATTTACTAAACTTTCATATGGTCTTAAACGGAAAATAAATAAATAAATAAATGATGGTAGTAAGGCTGCATGTAACATGATATACATTGTTCTCTTTTAGAAGACATATCAATTACACAATTAGTGGTGAGAAAATAGTATATGTATTTTTTCAGCTAATTAATTTCTTTTTTCGTTTTTTGAAAAACAAACTTTAGACATCATTTGTTTAGTAGGCGACATCTAAATTCTTTTAAAATGTGCAGGGCTTTAGACATGGCCTGGAATGTGAAGTCTGAAGAAAGAATAGACATCGTCCGAAGAAGTGACATCTAGAAGAGTGCTTTTAACATCGCCTACTTAGAAGTCGTTTTCTGGAATGATGTCTAAGGCCTTAGACGACAGGTGACGCCTAAAGCGTTTTATGTAGTAGTTAGTACTAGCAAATATTGCAAATGTCAAGCAAGGGCACCTTGTTCTTCCAAAACCAAATGGAATAAATTGCGAGTCTTGCCATTTGAAATAGACCAAGCTTTGTTACAAAAAATATATATAAAAGTGGAAGAAGACAAAGATGAAGAAGCTTTTTATATTTTTCTGTCAAATAAAACTGAACGTACAAAGCTCTTTATATAGAGCAACATCAGGAGCCCACTAACATGTGAGAGCCCACTAAATCTAACGTGCAAAAGCTAAAGACTCGGTAAAATAACAAACCATTATTTATCAGTAAAACAAACTTGCTAAGAAACAGTTCAACACTACTCCACTAAAAACAAACTCCTAAATACTAGGACAGCTGTTAACAAATACTAGAACAGATGTTAACAAAACAAAGACTTTTCAGAATACGTGTCTCAACAATCCCTCCCTTAAACTGAGAGTTTGCAAACATTCAGTTTAATTCCAGCGTGCCAACACCAAGCAGCTTCCTTAGCTTCTGAAATGCAGCCAACTTGAGAGGCTTGGTAAAAATGTCAGCAACTTGATCTTCACTTCTGCAGTAGATG